CGTTCTTCGTGTTTTCGAAGTGTCAATTTGAATCACTCAGTTTTACAAAATGAAATGTCAATGTTTGAACGTAAAGCGGACTAATTGTTTGGCAAAATATCTATGGAAAAGTATGCCGCCATCTTGGATGAAGATAAAATAAACTTACGACAGGTATAGGGCTATCTTTGATTTACGACAAACTTAAGATATCTTAGGGCTACGATAGTTTCGAAAATATGCTACGATAGCCTATGATTTCCTTACGACAAATTTACGATAATTTTAGGGCTACGATCGTTTCGAAAATCTAGGCCCAGAATCTTTCTCACCCCAACGAACTGGTGTTCCAAATTCGGCGTATGCAGCAATTCTTGAAGCAAGCATTTTATGGTAATCATAAAATGCAGTACCACCATAGTGTTTTGCTAAGTACATCACATTTCTTTGATGATTGTCTAAGTCGTCTGACCTCTCTTGATTACCTGCACAAAAGATCTGTTTATATATGCCAAACGCATCTAGGAATTCGGGCAGAGTGAGTGACTTGTTAAGCCTGTGATCATCCTTCAGTTGGAATGTCTGTCCGTTGAATTTGGCAGTTCGGTATTCCCCTGATGTTTGGTTAGGAAGTAGAAGAAGTGCTATGTTCACCGTTTTACCTGCTTGAATGTGTTTCACAATGGCTGGTGTGACAGTGTCAATATGCAGCAAAGAGTTAGATGAAACTGGCTGTCCAACTGTTGGAGGCTGCATGGTGTTGTCTTGACGTGTGGCATCACAATGCTTATCCTTGACGACAGTCTAAACAAGATCTTTTAACTCCTGTAACTCTCGCCGGATGCCAAGCAGATCAACAGAAGGAGAAGATGGCGGAAGCTGCTCAGTGCGAATGAATGAATTGGCGTCAGTGAGTGTGGTGTCGTGAAGATCAACAATTCTGATAGCAACATTATCAGCTGGAAATTCCAATGCTAAGTCATCAGGACTGACGTTCCTTGGGCGTAAAGAAACCTGGGCTGGGGACTGAGCTGATGTTGAAGCGAGAGGTAAACTGTCCGATGACATCACAGTACTTGATGGCTGCCTGGATCTGGGTCATGACCTCTCTCATGTCGCACTCTGATCTGCATCATCGTCCTCCTACTCCAAGATGCTAGAATACGAAATCCTATGTCCAATAAAGACGCCCATAGTTGTGTGGCTGTCAAATATGGGTTGGAAGTCGGCGTTCGGGAGACCAAGGTAACATTGACCCTTCCACTTTCGACGACATTGTTAGGAGGAACCGATGTATGAGGATTAGAACGTGTACTCCGGCTTGTAGGCATGGATGAACTTTTCTTCGACATCTTCGCTTTTGATATCGATACGTAAGTGTCATGCATGGCTTGAAATTAGATCGATGGAGCCGGGATTCAAAGTGACATAATGAGAGTGACATGACAGGTCAATGTGTCAAAAACATTTCCCATGGATATAGTAGAAGGTACAAGATATGAGATCCCTCAGATGTCCAAGCAGAGCATGGCTTCAAAACAAATTAGGTCAAAACCTTAAAATACCATCATCTATTATTGGTATAGGTGTGCTCTTAATGGATGAAAATTCTTCCATGGATAAACAATATCAGTCCAGTCCATAAGGGAAAAAATTACCTGCACTCCCTTATATTTGTCAGCCCCAACTTTCAACAAACAAAAAACATATGAAAATTACCTGTTTTTAATTCTTTCAACATCATGTTCAGTGCAATGACGTGCTCTCTGAAGTAACTTAGTTAGATCTACACTTCATTCACACAAAGTTCTGTCACAATTTTCTCATTTTGTTGTTGAATATTTCGAGACTAAGTCGCAACAAATATATATACTGAACCAAATTAAAAACTTCACAATCCTAAAATTTTAACATTTTGACCAGTTGTCATTGTGGGCCCTTATTGTGTATTTAAACAGTAATGGCCACGTATTGTCTTCAGATAACACCCATTTTTGTGCAGGTGAATCTATCAAAATCATGTGCACAGCACTATAGTGGCAAAAGTGTTTTTTCACGTGCAACTGGTCATGTGGCCATAATACTGCACGTGTTTTCAGCCATACTTGTCATTAAAAAAAAGAAAAACACAAGAAAACAAAAGTCTTTACGGACATTTGTCATGCCACGCATTTCAAATGTGCAACGTGAACGTGCTATCGGCATGTTGCAGCTGAAGTCGCAAGGACGATGGGTTGTAGTCGACGGACTGTTTATGATTTACAGACGCGTCTACAGCAAACGGGTACCACCGCTGATTGACCTCGGCCAGGTCGACCACGTGTGACGTCACATGCAGAGGATCGTCAGATTGTTTTACATCACCTCCGTAACCGATTTTTGACGGCTACATCAACCAGAAATGAACTGTTTAGGGGTAGACTGAGTGCGCAAACTGTTCGTCTGAGAACTGCTCACCTTCAAGCACGACAGCCATACTGCGGGCCGATTCTGACTCAATTACACAGACGTCAACGGCAATTGTGGCCACAGCGACACTTACGATGGACTTGGAATTGGAATCAAGTCGTCTTCAGTGATGAATCCCGATTTAATCTTCGATTTGCTGATGGTAGGGCTAGGGTGTGGAGGTGCGGTCATGAACGTTACGCCCAGTGTTGTGTACAGGAAGTTGACAGATTTGGAGGCGGAAGTGTCATGGTGTGGGGTGCTTTCTGTGGCAACGCACATTCCAGGCTTCTTGTCATCCGTGGCAACCTCAACGCTGCTGCTTATTGCGACCAGGTACTGGCACCAGAACTTCTGCCTTTTATGGCAGCACATGGACCCGGTTTGATCTTCCAACACGACAATGCCAGACCCCACACAGCAATTTTGACAAGGAATTTCCTTCAGAATGTCAACGTCATGGACTGGCCGTCAAGGTCTCCTGACTTCAATCCCATCGAACACGTCTGGGATGCTCTTGGCAGAAGTCTGTGCACTCTCCAGAACCAACCACAGAATTTGCAAGATCTTGGCACTACTTTGCAGCAACAATGGTGTCGTCTTCCCAATCATGTGTTCACAAGCATCACAAGGTCCATGCGGAGGCGTTGTGTGGCAGTTGTCAACGCACATGGTGGCCATACACGCTACTGAACTTGTGTGCCATCAGATTCTCGTGCTTGGGACTTATGATTTAAACTGTTGATGTTATTACCAAATACAGTAGGTGCTTGGAACAAATTATGGTTACCACCGTTAATTAAAATCCTTACTTTGGACCAGGGGTCCGGAAACCGTCATATGCGCCGGACATGTCCGATTGGGAATCTCAAATGTCCATTTTAAAATATTGCTTACCGGACATTTTAAAAAGTATTGTCCGGACATTCTTAAATTTTGACCGGACATGATCAACAGTTAGGACTGAGCAGTTTCTGTCTGCAGTTGCAACACAATGAAGATTAACTACACTGACAAGCTTTGTTTGTTTTGATTGCTATAAATACATCGTACCTACATGATAGTCCAATCAGTCAATCACTGTAATAGACAATAAACTGAGTTGACACTGATTAATCGAGGATTAATTACTGAGAACATCTTGTTAATTTGAGTGAAAGGTGTTTACAACTGTACATTAATACCTTGCATCATCGATGTACCTCATTATCCTCACAATGCTACGATACGTAACCTCAGACAAGAAGCGAAAGCGTGACGACAGCCAGTCGACCGATGCAGATCAGTCGAGCGGATCTGCCAAACCCTCAAATTCTGGACGATCATTTTGTAAGTCGTGGCTAACGACTTTCACTTGGTTGACATACAATGAGGATTTGCAGATTTTATTGTTTTCAGTAGCTAGTCGTATATTGAATCTTAATTGACCGCCATTTTGCTTTCTCGGACGATCGACATCCAATTTTTTTTATGGTCAATAAATAAGTACAGATGAAAAAAGTATTCAAATAACTATTGCTATCAACGATATTTTAGTATTTGTGATTAAATTATCTGTCTTGTTTTTAAAAAATCTTTAGTTTAAAAAAAAGATTTCCTGTGAGGTCACGTGATAACCAAATATGGGATAATAGTCTCGATCCAAATGTTACAACGCGTACACTTGAGCAGACTCATGAATATAACTCATGAATATTAATTAGACCGTTCACTACGTTAACAGATCGTTATTATAACAGAAACAAACGTATGTTTTCCATGTAAATCTAAAATGATATTATTTGTTATTAATTGTCCGCTGAATTAAACAATTTAAATTGAAACAATTCATAATTCATCATATTATGAATACGTAAACTTGTAATGTGTGTGAAAAGTCGTACTAAAATACGCTATTTGAAGGGGGCGTGGCCTAAATGCAAATGTCCGATTGGGATTTTAAATTTTCCGGACCCCTGCTTTGGACATTAATGATTAAAAATGACCTTCTCTGATACATTTGTCTGTTGTATATAATATATGGGATTACTTTTAAAAATGTGGAGTTTTTAATTTGACTCAATATATTTAACCTTGAAGCTAAGCAAAATGTTATTTCCTTGCACTAAAAATAGACATGGGGAAGCCCGATGGTAACAGAAAAGCTGACTTTGTTCACGAAATATACTCGTATGAATATCGCCGATGTTTTGTTCAACAACAAAGATTTATAATTATAAGGTACTTTATTTGCTGGTCCACAGGGACTGGCACTCACATGAATTAACGGTTCAAGTCTAATTTTACCAGTTAAAAACTGGTAACTACCGGTAAATGGGAAAACTGCAATATCATGTTATACAATATGTTTTCTGGTTAAATGATGAAAATGTCAATGGAAGTGGCCAAGGGGACCCAGAAAATGTATCATGTAGGGGAACTTCAACTTAAAACTATTCTACTTATCAGGAATCAAATGGTGATATGACAAGGACTCTTGTAACTCACTCAAATCATTATCCAATGTTTTGGGCGAGAGGAGTCTGTACTCTATGTCGTTTAACTGAATGTAAACTATCAGTAAAGCAAATTACCTCCATCGTCACTGTGAGGAATACACTTGGCAAGGTTCACTTTTGCTACTGCCACCTGTAACAAAGAGACAAAAGGCATAAACATTTTGTCATCATGAACAGACAATTATGGAAATGACATTTATTTTTATCCTCAAAAAAAGAGATCGAAATCCACCACTGCAATCACCACAAAAAGACAATACAACAGAAGAAGATAAAATTAAACAGAAGAAAAAATAATTACAAACCACATATACTGAACAACAAAAGTTCCTGTGACATTGAATAAGATTTAATGCAAAGTTATGTTTTTTTACCAAATTTGAAACAATTTCGGTTTGCAACAGATAAAAGACTCCTGTAAGTGTTCAAATGGTTTAATTTGCCATATTGACTTCAGAAAATGCGTGATTTCATTAAAAAAACACATGAACATGCCAAAATGTCAATTTACAAATCAATAGTGTGTGTGTCCACCTCTGGTTGCGATGCGAGCAACACATCTTCGTCTCATGGAATGGACCAGGCATCGCACAAAGTTCTGTGGGATATCTGTCCATATCTGCTGGAGCATGTTTCGAAGTTCCTGGAGTGTCTGTGGAACACGTGGTTGACGTTGAAGGGGCCGATCCATCTCATCCCACATGTGCTCGATTGGTGAGAGATCAGGGGAGCAAGCTGGCCAGGGGATGACATTCATGTTGTTTTGTTGAAGAGAATCCTGAACAAGTCCAGCAATATGAGGCGGGGCGTTGTCATGTTGAAAGGTAATACCTGGACCATGACGACGCAAAATGGTAGAACAACAGGGCCGATGATCTCATCGCGGTAGCGCTGTCCATTGAAATTTCCCTCTACCAATATCAAACGGGTCCTCTGTCTTGCTGTAATCCAACCCCATACCATAATGCTGCCGCCAACGAACCGATCTTCTTCCATGACACAATGATTGACGTAACGTTCACCTCGATGTCGGTACACTCAAATCCGTCCATCACTGTGGCTGAGGTGAAAACAAGACTCGTCAGTGAATAGAACTTGTCCCCACTGCATGGCCGTCCAAAGTAGATGCTGTCTGCACCACTGTAGACATGCTTGACGATGGTTTCCTGTCAAAATGGGACGTCTGGCGGGTCTTCTGGCGACAATCCCTGCACATCTGAGGCAGCGACGTACGGTTTGTGAAGATAATGGTCGAAGGCCAGGAATGCTTCTTGCAGTCACTGTTGCTGGCTGGAATCAATTTCGTAGGTATGTTGTTCGAATTCCAGTTGTCTTGTCCATTATTGGTTATGCGTGGCCTGTCACGCCGAGGATCATCTGTTGCAAACGTTGCCATAAACACCAAATGGTGTTTCTGTGGACATTAAATTGTCTTGCAACATCACGTTGACTCGATCCTGCTTCAAGCATACCAATTTTCTGAGTGGTTGTTGTCAGCACGATAATAAACAATGCATATGGAATCCTGTTAACGCACATGTTTTAATACCCATTCTTGGGTAGTGAAATGCATGGGGCTTGCATAAAAGTCAACTTTTGCATGGAATGCATTCTTTTCGGTAGCAGTTGTGTTTTTGTGACTTGATTCGATACATGTACTACAATATTGAAAACCAAACTTTAATTGTTTGAAAAATACACTAAAATATTGGTCACAGGAACTTTTGTTGTTGAGTATATATAGCTGTTAGTAGCCACTTAGGATTTTCCAATTTGACATACATTGAGGCCATCTTGGATGGTTTACATATCATTTGGCTATTAACTCTTAGCTTAGAATTTTCTTAAAGAGTATTCTTATTCACTCTGAAAATTTCAGAAAACAGATGCTAATTTATAAGATGTTAAGACAAGAAAGTCTTTAAATCTCAATCTTCCAATTCCAATCATGTCACTCAAGGTTTTGGAAAACACATTCTTACTGCATTAATATTATAAACCAGAGAGACCCATAATTCTATCTCAGTTTATAACAAAGTTATTAATACTTCCAGCTTGTATCAATTCACTTCCAGTTTTGGAAACACTTCTTACTGCATTTGATTTTTACATCATGGTTAAAGAACCTTCTGTTACAAAGTTGTAAGTACAATGAATTATCTAAATTCATGTTTGAGAAAAAAACCATTCTTCTTGCATTAAACTTAGATGTCCCATGGCTCTCGTTCAGTTTGAAGCAATAAATAGTAATTGCTGCTTCTCGTTCGATAAAACATGGCTTCCAGCATTAAACAAAAACAAAAAAATCCTACAATTGTTGCTAAATTTGTTGTCTTGGAAACAGGAAATAATAACATTTTCCAAAATTCCTTAACACTTGAAAAATTAAAAATTGTATAAATAGTGTTAGCCCTACAGAACTGGTTGTATTTGTCTGATGTTTTATGCTCAAATTTAATTAGAAATTAGGTCCTCCTATCTTTTAAACTTCTGTCCCATTGTAATGACGATAATCGACAGATGGTTGAAAATGCAATTATCAAGTCACAACTAATTGCGACAGAAGGGTTGTGACGTGATGTAAGGTTTAGTGAATGATGTCACGATGATTTCTGTAGCCATGTTGGGCAAAACCAAATAAATCAATGACACGGATCTGATCATCATTACTTATAATTATTTATTTCTGGTATGTAATCAAATTAAACACCAGACAGCCCTACACCATGCTTACACTACTGTTTTATGTATGAAAACATTAGAAAGTATGTATTTGTCAATTATTAAAATCTGTGGTTCAGCAAAAGATTTCGTATTCAATTTTTAGCTTAAGTCATTCAGTATTTTGCTGTCAAAGTGTTAGATTTCAATTTTAGCTGTCTATTAGGCACTTAAAGGAATCCTAAGACTCTATAAACTTGGTAAACTTATATGTTGTAATGTTATTACCAGTAATAAAAAAATCAGAAGTATAACAGAAAAGCATATATTTTATAACCGGAATTAGTGTGGTTGACGTCACAGGTTATTATGCATACTGTAGAAATAGAAATAAGGTCACGGTAATGCTTTGTTTTCAATACTTAGAATAGCTTCACTTATAGATCATGTAACTGTTGGAACACTTCATATTTTTTAGATTAATAATATTTTTTTACATCATAGGTTTGTATTGCTAGGTATGTATAAGTGTGAGACTCATAGTATTTTAATAATAACTGATAATCTAAAGAAAGGCATTATAATAGGAATATTGTAAGTATTCTAGAGTTTATTATGTGATGTTAAATGGTTATTGTTTAAATTGTTCTGGTATTCTTTATTAGTTATATTGTTACATTAGTACTTGTGCAAGTTGCTAAGGATAACCAGTATCACCGTAGAAGTTGCTGATATCTCTGCAAAGTTTGGTCCAGACATATTGAATGAACAAGTCCTATCCTCATATGTACATTGGCTCAATGAGTTATTATGGAAACCTTAAAAAACTAAAATTACAAATATTCCTAAATAGAAACAGACGGAAAGACAGAAGGACAGCACCTATTAATATGTCCCCCATCCACTGTGACTGGGTTTAAGTGCTTTCAAGTTTTTTAATAACAACAACAACAACAACCTATATGCATAATGCAAGAAGATTTTCAAGACAAAGACTGCACATTGATCTTGCGAAGTTGGGCAGTAAATTGGGGTTATTCACATAAGTAGTATAGGTAATGGTGATTCTGCCGCAACCCCACTGGAGCCAGATTTATATACCTATACCACCACTACAGCGGGAATTTTTTATGCAAAAATGATGATGTGATTCAACGATCGTCATGATTCTTATAAAAAGAAACATCAATATTAATTAATTATGGATAAAATTTACTATAGCCCACAAGGATATTGGAAAGGTATAGGAGCAATAAAAAAATTAGCCACTGCAGCTAAGGTATCTAAAGATGTGGCCAAGGATTGGTTAAAGAAACAAGCGATGTGGCAAATATACTTACCAGCAACGCGTTATATACCGAGGAAGAAGTTTGATATTTCTACAACGAATGAAGTTCATCAGGCTGACCTCTTGTTTCTTCCCCATGATAAGGTAAGACGCAAAACGTATAAATACGCTTTAACCGCAGTGGATGTGGCTAGTCGATACAAAGAGGCTGAGCCATTAACTTTGAAAGATTCAACAGAAGTAGCTAATGCACTGAGTCGCATATATAAACGCGGACCACTAAAATGGCCTAAGCTATTTCAAGCAGATCCTGGTCGCGAGTTTATGGGATCGGTAACTAAACTTTTAACAAAGCACGATGTCAAAATCAGGCGTGGTGAAAAAGAGGCCCACCGTAGTCAAGCTATCGTCGAAAGATTTAACCGGACATTAGCGAAATGGTTGTTTGGCTATCAGTATGGGATCGAAATGAAATTGGAACGATTGAGATCAACCGAATGGGTGACACGATTATCAGCTGTTGTATCAGCGCTGAATAATGAAGTAACAAGATTAATTGGGAAGAAACCATTCGATGCGATTAAAATGAAATCCGTGACTTCCGAACTTCAGCACTGAGGAGAGGCAAAGAACAAAAACTTCCGGATAGAGTAAGTGTAAGATATTTATACCAGCCCGGTGAACTCGAAGGAGGCCTACGTCCCGCAACCGATCCGATTTGGTCCCTTAAGATATATAACATTAGTCGATTTGTTATGAAAGAAGGAGAGCCTATCCTTTATTATCTTAAAGATGGACTGGGCAGGGCATTTGTACGAGAAGAGTTGTTCATAGTTCCCAACGATACAGTATTACCACCATAACCATAAGCGTAGGTAGTTACACCATCCTTATCAATCCATCTCTTTGTATCTAAGGGGGATAATGATGTCTTGTTCATTCTTAATCCATATATCCTATGATTGTAACTTCTTAAAGAGTTCATCTCGTGTTTGAATGTTCTACCGTTGAATAATACTTCTTTATACTGTTCGTGTTTGATATGCTTTTTTACAACATACTTCTGTACACCTTTTGGGTAATCGCTTGTGTCCTACATATCTATTTTTTCTGCCATATCTTTATACACATTCTCGGTTTGTATTTCCATCAACAAAGAATCTGTGTCGGTATATAACACC